TGTGTTTCAGGACACATGGAGTCACAAGATGCTGAGTCATGGGCACTCTGGTCCTAGACTTCCTACCTTCTTTGATTAAGGGCTTTCTGACTGCATTGTTGGTGGATGTCATCTTCTTTAGAGAGATCGAAAAGCTTTTAGGTTCTGCTAGTTCTTTTGGGCCCCAACTGTGCAGACACTATAGTATGTGTCAATCCAGGAATAGCCTTCTCTCCTTTTTAAAAAAAATGATAACCAAGCTGAGAACACTCAAACTGGTTCCCATGAAACATCCATGAAGGACCTGGTTTCCTCTTCAGTTCTCCTTGGTCTGTGACAGGAACGCCCCCTACTGAACAGCAGTTGCACTCCGCCATGGGTCAAGACGTTGGCTTCAAGGGGAAACCTTGGCTGTCATCCCCACAACTGATGCAGACCACACAACCCTTCCACTTTTCACCCAGAGCAGCTGTGGCAACTCCTGTGGCCATGTGCTTCTCACAGAGAGCACGAAACTTGAGTTCATCTGCTTCAGTGAATTTCTGAGCCAGTGGCTGGGAGGGAGATAATTCAGCTTTGTTTTGATGTAGCCCACTGCCTAGGAATGCTATACAAAAAGAACTGAAATTCTTTTTGTAGAGCACAGTGTGTTTTGAAATACTCACGATTAACGGGCAGATGTTTAGACAATTCCTCTATTTCCTCTTCCTCAAGAGGATATCCCAGTTGTTCAAGAGCATCATCAATTTTATCAAGACTGACTTTTCCACCTTAAAGAAAGAATAAAGGAGATTTGGTTTTATGCCAAAAGGAAAAAAAAGATAATTACCCATAACCATCACTCCATACAACCAGGAAATGAAAGGTGCCAGCACCAGAAAGTCCTTGAGGTGATAAAATAAATTAGTTGGGAATTTGGGAAAGGGAAGGTCCTCCTTCTCTGTGCTTTAGGGAACACGGTGACAGCTGTCTAGGAGGAGTTTACCCAGGAGAGAAGAGTAGGCAAGACTTCCTGTTACAGCAGCTGTCGGCTCAGCCAACAATTCCTACCAGTACAGAGAGATGCAAGATTGCTACAGTCAGATGGGTGACTGTGCCAGCTGTTGACAGACAACTGTTCTAGTGCTTACATCACCGAATATGGTACTACAATTAGTAATGTGACCAGAGAAGGAAGGGGTTTGTAGTCCTTCCTCTGTCAGAACACTTTGCACTCACTTCTGCGAGTCCGCAGTGCGTCCATTAACACGTTTTGATACACCATGTTGTCATCTGTAAGGGAAAGGTCACATTAATTAGAGGAAGTAGAAATCTAGGAAGCCCTGTTTACAGATGTTACTAGTCATGTTCAAAGAATCTGCTGGCACTCACAAGGCTAACTATTCTTTTGTAGCATCTGATATGCTGCAAGTGGAGCGTAAACATTGAAACGCGGGTTGTCGTTCTGTTCTCCGAGGACCCTCCTCATTCCATATATCTTTTGGTCATCATCTTTTCTGACTTTAGCTTTAGGCATGTTGCAGCACGATATTTAAAACTGTTTATCATAATTACCAGAACCCCCAAACAGTATTACCTCCCAATTTAGCATGTGAATAGTGAGGAAAGTACACTTTCGTCAAAATTGACTCTGACTTTCCATCTTCAGTGAGCTGCTAAGTGACTATGCACATAGAACCCTAGACAATCCAGGCCGAGACCAGGAGTGCTGGAACTAGTGGTGGGGTCTGAGCTACTTACCATCGACTGGAACTATGTTCTTTATCATCTGGCTTTCACTGTCTGTTAATTCAATGCCTAAGCTTTCCAGATATGGCTGTATATCCTCAGCTTCTATTTTACCACCTTTAAAAAGATGAGAGACATAATAAATGAGTATTTTCATATAGAATGATTCTTCATTAAGGAAATGATGACAAGGATGCAGTTGTCAGGACGACAGGGGCAGAAAGCTGATGACACAATGAGGCGTATTTCTCTGGGCGGCATCACAAGAAAGAGCTAAAGCCAAGCACGTTTCCTCTAAGAGTGAAATGAGGGAGGAATGAGTGAAGAGGAGGGAGACTTCAGTGCGGGGGTGGCAGAAAAGGGACGGTGACATGGGAAGGCACGGGAGCACAGTAGTAACAGAGACCAGGCAAAGTTGGGACGTATTACAATTAAGATTATAAAAATAAGCAATGGATAATAATCCTAAATAACACCGTTTGGTAATGAAGGAACCCCTCGAACTGGGCTTTAAGCAAAACGGAAAAGGAAAGCCACTGTGAGCTCTATGGGTACCCAGTCAGTTATTCTCCAAAGAATGAAAAAGAAAAGACAGATCTACCAACCATCCATGTAGAAGACAGACACCGGAGACTGGGAGGGGTGGGTTCCTTGAAGTTGTCAGGGCTGAAGCCCCTGCAATTTTATGTCCCCAAGTCCTAAAGGTCTTCCTCACCTCTCTGGTTAAGCTAGTGACCGTTTTGGGAATCAGCTTGGGCCCAGGAAACTGGCGGCAGCTTGGAAACAGATCCATGAACACAGGTGTACTTTGTGGGCAGTGTGAGCCATGCTGCAGAGGCTGCCCATAGTGGGAACTGAGGCCTCAACGCCTGGAAAGACCGGAAGACCAGGCACAGACTCCCCGAGGGAGCCAGGTACCTGGCGTTGCTCAGTGTCTGTGCCCTAATTGTTTTAGTTTGATTAATTTCTACACTTTCAATAGCCCCAGAGATACTTGGTGGGGGACTCAGCAGCTACACAGGCATCCCCCACTCCCGGCAGTGCTGGTAGGGTGTGTCTTGTGAAAGGGGGCATTCAACTGGGTGGTCTTTAGGCTTCTGTCCTGAAAAAAATAAATGAGCACAAATAGTATACAAACAAGCAGATGAATGAACTCAAGAAATTCAAGACCTAGAAAAAAATTTAGCAATATAAATAAGGAAGTTAGTAAAAAGGATGAAAAAACTCAGCAAGGAAATTAAGATTTTAATAAAAAAAAAACAAAACAAAACCAAAAATAACTAGAAATGTAAAAAATCCTAAATGAATTAAAAAAACTCAGAAAAATCACAAATGAACTAGAGCAAAAGAAGAAAGAATATTAGGGACTGAGGACAAGACTGAGGAAACATTACAACTAGATAGCAATAAAGAAAACATAATGATTACAGCTTGTAAGAACTTATGGGATATGCTCAGGGTCCAAACCTAAAAATCCATAGGGTCAAGAAGCAGCAGAGATAAAAATTAAAGAACAGAAATCCTACTCAAGGAAATGAAAGCAGGGGGCCAGGGAGATGGGCAAAGGCCTCTACTGCATACAACACCTGATGACCTGAGTTCAGTTCCCAGAAGCCAAGTGATAAAGCCAGATGCAGTGGTGTGCACCCATAATCCTAGCACCCCTACAGCGAGGTGGGAAATGGAAATTGCATATACACATGCACACATGCATGCACACAGGTACACACACGCACACACAGACACAGCATGCACACACACAGAAACACACATACACATGGGCGTACACACATGCACACATATAGGGACACCTACACAGGCACACACGCATGCACATGCATGCACACACAGAAGCATGCATTCACAGGAACACACATATGCATGCATACACAGGCACACAAACACACACACAGGCACACACCGGCACACACATGTATGCACATGCACAACGCACACACATGCTTGCACACACATGCACACACAGACACAGCATGCACACACACAGAAACACACATACACACGGGCGTACACACATGCACACATATAGGGACACCTACACATGCACACATGCATGCACACACATGCACACACAGAAGCATGCATACACAGGCACACAAACACAAGCACACACAGGCACACACATGTATGCACATGCACAATGCACACACAATGCTTGCACACACATGCACACTCACACACATGTGCACACATACACACTCTTTCACACATACACCAAAGGATCTTGAATCTTTCCATCATTGCTTCTCACCAGAAAACAAATTGGCTGCATTCATCAAGGAGCTCAGTGAGAACCTCCCAGTACCTGAAACACAAAGCATAAGTGAGACACAGACCACACTTTTCTTGTTCGCCTGTGAGATTTTCTAATATTCTGTGAATATGCCATCATATTCACAGGGGAAATTTGTTATTTTCTGAATATATCCAATCATGTAAAAGGGTTTTTATAGAAGGTAAATGAGCATGATGGCTATTTGGACATAAAAGATACTTCTTTTGATGACAGATAAAGTTTTCCAGGCAGAAATCCCTGGCACTCTATTTCTACCCCATCTGACATTCTCCTCCTATTTGCTGGATGAAGACAGTGGCCTTTTACTGTAGATTATGTGTCAAGCAACTCCAGACCTCCTTCCCCTCCTCACTTGACTTGGTGCTCTCTGACCTTTCTACCAGCTATTCCAATAGCTTCTAAAAATTCCCTGTGATGTTTAATATGCTTACCCATGCCTTTATCTCTGTCAATGCAGATAATGGATGAACAGAATATATTATCTATCTATCTATCTATCTCTATCATCTATCTCTTATCTCTTATCTATGTATCTATCTATGTACCTATCTACCTATCTATCTATCTATGTATCTATCTATGTATCTATCTATCTATCTATCTATCTATCTATCTATCTATCTATCTATCTATCATCTATCTATCTATCTATCTATCTATCTATCTATCTATCTATCATCTATTTTTTTTTTGAGACAGAGATTCACTATGTAACCCTAGCTGGCCTGGAACTCACTATGCATGTTAGACTGGCCTCAAACTCACAGAGTGCTGCCTGCCTCTGCTCCTTACCCCCACCCCAAGAGCTGGGACTAAAGGTGTTTACCACACCTGGCAGCAGCTCTATTTTATTCTCTTGAGGATTATAACTCCATGAGTAGTTCTTCTTTCCTCAGTATAACTGAGCACCCCGCCCCTGAGAGTCTATAAGAAGGGCTCAGTGATTCTTCTTAAAGGAAATCAGAAGTAGTAAAGAAAATACCATCAGATATCAGGAAGCTCCGCAGCCCTTTCATGTCTTTTTCCTCAACATTGTAGTTCAGGTTTTCCATAATGGTTTCTAGTTTATTTATAAAACCTTTCCCTCCTTGAGAAAAGAAGATATGCAATAAGAAAAAAATGTAAAATTAGGTTTTCACATTTAAAAATTTACTTAGCTCTGGGACTGGGTGGCAAAGGCTGGAAGAAAGCAAGGCTGTAAACGTTTGAACAAAGAATGAAAAGGTGGCAGGGATAGATGGGAGGGGATGAACGGAGCACCCCCTCTACATGTCACAGGTTATGTGGCTAAGATCTTCAGTAGACACCTGAAGCAAAGGAAGTGACTAATTGTGTTGGTTGCTCTTCATATATTCATAGCAGAGATGTTGGAAACAACCCTAATTGTGACTGCCAGGTTTGAAAACTGTCACGACAGTAAATTATCTCTATAAATTTAAACTAAAAGTCACAAAGGGGAATGAAAAGACTGATAAGCTATTGAGCACATATAGCCATGGGCGAGAATGAGGCCTCAAATAGCTGTTTCCACATTCAAGCTGTGAGGCCTGAGGCACACAGGTCAGTGTAAATCCCGTGGGAAGTGGCAATAAGAAAGTTATGCACTGTAGCATTTGTGTGGGACAGAGTAGGGCCTTGGGACAACCCTCAACAGAAACAAGCTACTGTTACCACTGAGTAGTAGGCAGACTTTCCAGAAAGAAACGCAAACTTCAAGGCCTGTCTCACTTGACCTTGTATTTGTACTCACTGTGAAAAGTTTTCACACCATCCAACAGTCGGTTGTGATACACGGTACCAGCAGCTGTAAAGAAAGGCACAGTCAAGGTCACAGACAAAGAAGGGCTGACATCCATAACATGACCATGGACTACCACCATGAAGACAGTAACCTTACAGGATCTGCCTATCCAGTCTGATATCCATACAGCTTTCTTCATTTTGTCTTTATCAATAAAGTGAGGCATGGGATCTTCTGTATGAGCCACTTTGCCAGGCTGGGACTGATGCTAATGTGTTCTTTTTTATTTTTTATTTGTCTTGCCTTCCCTCCTGTCCTTACTTTTCTTTGTGCTTTAGGATTATCAGACATTCCAGATGTAATATCTCAACTCACAAATCAGATCTTGATTCATAAATTAATTTCTTTCTTAAGAAGTTCTCAAATCCAGTTCCAATAGAGCCTCCATGTCAACTAGTTTCCATGAGCGCAAAGACTTGATTTTAATCTTACCATTTGAAAAGTCTTCAGTATGTTGAATGCAAACAAATGTGGAACTGCTTGCTCAGTGACTCCCTCTCAGCCCCCACGACACCCCCGCCCCGCCCCCCAAAAAAGTCCCCTTGGAGCCAAGGTGGAATCAGAAATGCTCACAGGTGATAGGCAGAGTCTTCAGCAGCTTCCAACGTTCCTTCGGCATGAGTTCTATCCCTATGTTTTTCAAGACATTATCTACTCCATTGACATTCACTTTGCTCCCTTTGGGAAAAAATGAAAATGAGAGCAACCAATGATTTCAAACTGTGTCATCTGTGTTCACCTGAGGGGTGGGATAGCCAAAAGTCTCTGAGTTGAGAGTCTGAGAAGATATCAGAAAAAGACATCAGTTGCTTAATTCTAGACAGAAACATAATTTTATAAGTTCTAATGAAATGCCTGAAGCAATCTCATCTTGTTCTGACTCCATGTTGTGTTTGTTTAGATTGTTCTCAGCCCTCTACTCTCCTCCCCAAGGGTTGTGTCTGCTTTGGCAACATATCTGGGGTATCCATGGCCTTGACCATGATCCAGAAGTATTAACCAAAATAATAAAAAATCTAAAATAACTTGAAAAAATATAAGTGAAAAGTAATTGACATGTTATGTCTAAAGTGATTACTATGCTTTGCCAGGAATGAATTTTTCAAGGTGCCTCTGACCCTTATATGACTTTGATGTAAATTATGATCTTTGGGCTTTCTGCCTTTAAAAACTATGCATCCCTGAGTTTGGGCACCATGAGACTTTTCAGAGGCACAAGCTCACTCTTGGACGGGCTACCCCCCCCCCCCCAAAAAAAAAAGACTTCAAACTTTTTACTGGCTTAATCAGTGTGGTTGTCAGTGACTATCTCATGTAGATCATTTCACTAAGAACAAGAGTATAAACCAATATTCTGAAATGGAGGTCAGAGAACAGTATGGCTATGATATAAATGACTATATACATATTTTTATAGATAAATAATGCCAATTAAAATTTGTTCTCTGGTAATTACATATATGAATAGAATTTATTGAGAACATATCTACCTCTACCTCCAGCTTAGATCCCTCCAAATACCCTGCCCATCTTCATGTACTTTTCTACATTTTAAATTTTTTAAAATACCCCAAGTTTGATTCCTGCTGCCCATATGCACACGCCATCTACTGGAGCATGAGCAGCCTACCAGGGGCCACACCTCTCAACCACTGGCTAACAACTGTTAATCTCTTCACTAGGGGTGGAGCTTCATGAGCCCCTCCCCCTGCAATTTTCTGCTATATGATATCTCATATATGATATCTCTCTATTTTTATGCTAAATGATAATATGAGAAGGTGTTTTATTGCTAAAAAGATTAGTTCTAATGCATTATTTTACCAGTGATCATAATTACCCAAGTTTATTATGATTGTTTGAACAGTGCAACTAATTTGAATTATGTAAAAAAATTTAGGATACTATAACAATAGAAAAGTTTAACAGTTTTGTCAAAAACATAACTCAAAACTAATCTGGACTACTGGATAAAATGTTTTTATTTTTCACTATTTATTTATTTATTTATTTATTTATTTTCATGTATTGGGGCACCCTTCTGGAGGTCAGAGGATAATTGGCAGGAATCAGTTCTCTCCACTATGTGGGTCTCAGAGATCAAAGTCAAGTCATCAGGCCTGGCACCAAGTTCCCAAGTGCCTTAACCTGTTGAGCCACATCACAAAGACCCATAAAATGGATCATTTATTCATCAGCGAGGCCAGCAAGTTAAGGTACTAACAAAACCCCGTGATGGGGCTTGGATATTTACAAGTATAGATGTAAAAGTATTCTGAATATTGCCATTTAAGACTGTTTTCCTCCATGGCCTTTTACTCACCTGTGAATGCCTCTATATTTTCCATCATCTTACTCAGTTTAACCTTCCCATCTGTAAGACAAAATACAAATAAGACACAGGCAGTCACTCAGACCCAGGAAACTTAAGACCTTACAGTGTGAGATAAACATGGACATTCAAATGGTCAACCTGATTTGTTCCGTAAATGCATTAATTTTCATCCCCAGATGAACATAGAATTGAAAACCAAAGGTCTAAATGTGACACACACACACACAAACAGGCATGCACACACACACACACATACAAGCATACAGTGCTAAGGCATTTAAAAGCATTGCTTAATCTTTCCCTTTGGTCTGTTCTTTTGAATTCAAGAGCATTCTGTTTGATCACCTTAGTATTGCAGATTTAAAAAGCAGTATGTGGCATTGCTATGAAGCCTGGACTGACCTGGCACTTTCTGAGTAGGTAGGTATTCCAGGACACACCTGAACCCGCAATTCCCTGCCGTAGCTTCCCTCTTGCTACATATGCAACCATTACTGAACACTCTGTTCATGCTTCTGATTCCAAGGCCTCCAACATTTGTTTAAATCATGAGCTGATTTGCTGAAGATCTTTTAGGTCGCATCGTCCCTTGAAAGTATCATTCAATCATAATATCTACAACTCTGTATTTTTTTCTAAGAAGCAGTATTATTTGGTAGAGAAGTAAAATCCTTTCAAGTTATGTACATCTGGGTTCAGGTCCTATTAACCAACCTCTGTGATGTATCCCCCGTTTTCACATCAGAGAAATTTAGATAATAACCCACCTCACAGGGTTGCTTCAGGACTATTGATAACATAGATCTGGTGCCACACAAGTAGTAGGCAGTTAATAGTTGATAAGTATTAGCTGTGGTTACATCATAGAGCCTGCTAGTTTATCTGGCAGGAGGCGCGGCAGCAAAACAATGGTGGGAGGAATCTGCTAGTTTCCCACATTAACTACTGAAAAATTAGTATACAATTCTGAGTTCTCGTTAACAAAATGTTCTTCTCGTAACTTGGTACAAATAGTGGGTAAGTCAGATCTCACTTAAGGTAAAGCAGATGTTTCAGTGGCAAGGCAAGCGAAGGCAGGCTAATTAGGAGCCCCTGTGTGATTAAGTGGTTCTGATGGTTTGAATGTGGCCCTCAAACTACGTGTGTCAGAGACAAACCCCATGGTAACGGTGCTGAGAGGTGAGATGTAGGAGGTGACCCGGTCACATGGGCAGGCTCCTGATGAATGGCTCATGGGCGGGTTTATTGCTGAGAACTGTTTGGTTATGAATGTGAGTCTCACCCACCCCCTTGGGTCCCCTCCTGGTTGACGGCACTCAAGTGCACTATCTCTGTGTTTCTCTGTCACACGAGCACACGCCTTTCACCTTTCTGCCTCCTGCCATGGGTGATGCAGCACAGAGGCCCTACCATGTTAATTCCTGGATATGGACTTCCCAGCTTCTACGACTATGAGAAATTAATTTCTGTTCATTATAATTTACCTAGTCTCATTCAGTAATATCAGCACAAAAAAAGTAAGTCAGATGTAATAAAATTTCCTGGTGCAGTAAGAATCATAGAAGACTGGCTTCTAAATAAGACATTATTCATAATTTAACTGTGAACAATATACAATGCATTGTATTGTCTATGGAAGTTGCAATGCTGCTTCCAGACAGAAGGTTATAACCTCTCTGTTTTCCTTATAGGATGCAGAAATTGGCCTAACTATGCAACCAAATAATATACGTTTTTGGTTTGTCTTTGTGTTTTTTTTTTGGGGGGGGGGGATAGGGCTTCTTTGTGCAGCCCTGGATGTCCTAGAATTCCCTTTGTAGACCAAACTGGCCTTGAGCTCAGAGATCCATCCACCTTTGCCTCTCAAGGGCTAGTATAAAGGCATGTGCCATCACTGTCGGGCCCAGTTAATATACTTTAAAAAGTTAAGTCTATATTGTTGCCCCCTAGCCGAGATCTGAGGCTAATGTAATTAAGAAGCATCCCGACCCCAGTCAGCTGAGTACACATATTTCTGTGTCACTTGGGATGGTGTGTCCTGCCCTCGCCTGGTCATTTGGACATGTGACTCACAGTGATTCTGACTGACTTGCTGACTCTGAATCCTGAGACCGCGACGCTGGTGATCCTCCAGCTGCACCACCTGATGACTCTGTCAATCAGCTCTGTGGTCACGTGATCCCATCGCTGCAGCCTTGGCCTTGGTCTTCCCAGTCCTGGGCTTCCAAATATTTGGTTCTAGGATTTACTCCGTGGCCTTCACAGTTCTCTCTGGTCCTTAAGTTAACCAGAACCTGAGGATGTGATTTTTTTTTTTTTTTTTTACTACTGTGAAAAACTGCTGGCTGGGCGTTGTGATGCATGTCTTTGATTCTAACACTCCAGAGGCAGCATCAGGCAGATCTCTGTGAGTTAGAGACCAGCCTGGTTTATAGGCCAGCCAGGGCTACATAATAAGACTCCATCTATAAAAAAAAACAAAGTAAAAATCCCCCAAAACAAAAGCTCTCCAAACACACACACGGTGCTGGAGAATTGTCTGTATTCTGTCAAACATGTTTTAAATAAACGTTGATTGGCCAGGCAGGAATTATAGGTGGGACAACCAGACAGGAAGTAAAGATGGGGCAATGAGAACAGGAGAATGCTGGGAAGGAGGAAGCCCATTCCTCCTAAGTCCTGCCCAGACCACAGAAGAAGCAGGATGTGACCTGCCACGCCGAAAAAAGTATCAAGCCATGTGGCTAACATATACTAGAATAATGGGCTGGTATACATTATAAGAGCTAATATGAAGCCTGAGCTAATGGGCCAATCAGTTTATAACCCAATGTAGACTCTCTGAGTGATTTTCTTTGAGGATTTACAGGCTGTGGGAACTGGGCAGGACACAAACCCCAACTAGCAGGCCCTAATGGTATACACACACACTGCGTTTTTTTCTCCAGTTGGTTTTTTTTTTTTTAAAGACTAAGTTGGAGAAGTGCCATTTTCCTTAGTGTTGGGGCTACTTAGAGGTTATGGTTATGGCTTATAGAATACGAACCACACATAGGGACTGTTTGCATCAGATTTTCTTGGAAGTGGCTTTAACCTCTGGCAGTTCACCCCCTTCTTATCAGGACTGAATGAAAAAGACTGGGATTTAGAATTAAAGTAAGATTGTTTCCTGTAGGCAGATTCAGTCTAGGATTTGGCACCTCATCAAGCAGTACAACTTTGTCTCAATGGTTACGAGAACATCGTTAAAGAGTTCCAGCGTAAGTATATAAAAAAAACACCCCACCCCCCCAAACAAACAAACAAAAAACCCAACCCTGGGCATTGCTTAACCACCAAGGAGATGCAAATAAAAATCACAATGAGACATCACCTAACTGGAATCAGGGTGGCTACTACTAAAGAGGCAAAAAGAGCAAGTGTTGAGGGTATGGAAAACAACCTGGAAGCTCCTCAGACACAAAAACAGAATTGCTGCCTGAGCCTCTATCCCACAACTCGGTAGATCCAAGGAAGGGACCAACCATATATGTTGAACACTATGCTCACTAGCTAAGATACAGTCAGTGTGGGAGTCCCCTGATGACCTGGAGAAACTGTATGAAAAAAGACAGGAGAGGCACAGCAGACACTGTTCTCTCTCACTGTCGACTATGAACACATTGACCTCCAGTAGCTGGAAGCGGGGTATGGGTCAGAGGATGCATGATCAAGAAGTCCGCTGCACCATGAGAGACGCGGTCCATGTCAGTTTGTTGACTGAGTTCCTTCAAAGTATAAATAAGCATGGTGTTTGCTATCATCAGGAAAATGGTAACTCTGTGGGGTGATGAATTTGTTAATTAGCTAGATTTAACCATTCAATCAGTAAACTTTAAAACAACACACTACACACACAACTGCCAATTAAGAAAATCTAGAATGGCTAGGCATGTTTTCTTTCCTGAGCTTCCTGGTGATTTGATGGTATTATTATTATTATTATTATTATTATTATTATTATTATTATTATTATTATTTGGAGTCTAGAACATTGAGTCAGATTCCCAGGAGCGGAGTCTTAGGCAATCGCGAGCTATCCAAGGCGGTGCTGGAGACGGACCTTAGGTCCTCTGGAACAGCGGTAGGCTCTCCTGAGCTCCAATTCTTGGCTCCTGCCTTATTCTTTTCCTGTTGAAAGGATCCTTTGTTTCATTTCTCTGGCTTCTTAGCCTTTAAATGTTCTCAGTGGCATTAGGGTTTAGCCTTGCAAGTGGGACTCCCTGCTTACCACACAAGTCGTCTCTGACTAAAGCATGACAGTCCAGGACAACAGCTTTCCCAATGAGTGTATCTGGAAGCTGATTACAAGAGCCGAGGGTTTCTCTCATGAAGGTGACATGCTCACCTTCAATTGGCAGACGGTTCTTCAGGTCTTCAATTTCCTCCTCCTCCAGTTCATAGCCCAGTTCTTCTAGGATGGAATCCAGTTTGGAGACATAACACTTTCCCCCTTAGGAAAGAAGGAGGGAGCTGGAGGTTAAGTCACTATAGACGAAGCAATCCACAACATAGTAAAATCAGACAGCTCTGAAGGCTGCAGAGCCGCTGTGGAAGCTGGGAATGCAATGTTTTCACCAGTCCTGCTTCAGGGGTGTTTCCTACAGTTTGCAGCAGGGGTGCATTTAGAAGTTCATTATGTATCAGAAGAATTATGTAAATTTGCACTTATGTATTGATTGCATGTACTGATTCTATATACTATACATTTTATCTTTCAGATGAACTGTGGATTATATAAAAAAACCTAGTGCTCTTGATTATCAAACAGAATTTGAAACATTTTCATCACCAGAAAATTATAAACTACATTAGTTATAGTTGCATCTAAAAGATCTATAAACTTAGAGAAAATAAATCACCTGATTATTTCGTAGTGATGACATGAGTTTTATTAAATTTAAAGTAAAGCACAGATAATAGTCTGAATTGCTTTACTGAAATTATCACTTACCAGAAAACCACTTCATTTGGTCAAGTAATATGTTTTTAAGTATTTTCCCATCATCTGTAAAATAGGAAACATTTAAAATTAGAGAAAAATGCTGATACAGTAAAAACAAAAGGTATGGAAGGATATGACTTTCAGTGCAGACTATAAAAATTTAGCTTTTTGAAAAAGTTTTCTTTTTTAAAGATGTATTTATTACGTATGCAGTGTTCTGTCTGCATGTATACCTGAAGGCCAGAAGAGGGCGCCAGATCTCATTACAGAGCCAGATGACTCAGACATCAAAGGCTAGGCTCTCAACCACAAATACGAAAACTTTCAAATTTATACTTCTACAGTTCCCATATCTACACACTCTTCACACACTTCTTTATAAAGACATGCAAAGTAAGATTTTTTTCTCCTTTTCTCTTTTTTTTTTCTTCTGCCTCTTCTTCTCTTGTGACTTTTGCCTCTTGACTTTTTTGGAGCTGGGGACTGAACCCAGGGGCTTTCCACTGATCTAATTCCCCAAGATCCCCCCTTTATCTTCCTCTTTCTTCCTGCTTCTCTTTCTTCCTTACGTAGTGCTAATGAACCCAGGGCTCTGGGCACCAAACCAAGTGCCCTACCCCTGAGCCTTCCCTGGGCGGAACTCTTGAGTGTGAAGCTGACGGACACCGTTCCTCCAATGGAGCTTTCCCCTTTCTTCTCACCGTTAGTTTGTCCTCTTTTCTCATCGCTCTGTTTAAACCTTGTTTATCACAAGGTAATGGAATATTTTAAAAACATTTACTTATTCATTTACGTGTCTGTGTGTGTGTGTGCATACACGTGCACAGGCAGTTGCCACAGTGTGTGTGTGTGTACGTGTGTGTGTGTAGGCCAGAGTACAACATTCTAGGGATATGAGCTCAGCTCAAAGATTTACACAGCAATTGCTTTCATCTATTGAGTCACCCCCACAGCCAGGAACACTATTCGGTTAAAAGATACTGGGTGGGGGTGGGAGGAGAAGCTCTCAAAACAAATTTAAATGCCAGACATAATATTGTTCCAATTACAGCTTGATAACTTTGTGTTGTAGGGCAGAAGAGGTGTCAGCTTTTGTGAGGTTTCACATTGAGGTTCATACAAGGACAGAGATCCGTTCTGTAGTCCAGAGTACCTACCAGCGATAGGCAGCCTTCTCATCAGCGCATTGACTTCCCTGTTTGTGAGCTCTATGCCCATGTCCCCCAGCACTTTTTTTGTGACTTTAGTATCAATTTTTCCTCCTTTGGGAAAAAAATGGAAATCATAAAGATGAGAATTGCTTGCTGACTTTAGATGACAGAATAAAGTTGGTACAGATGCACGGAAATGTGTTCAAATCTGAAGAAACTATGGGTTTGTAAGGCTCTAAATGGCCTCAGAGGCACTAATCCTGCACAGGAAGCCCCTGGCCGCCAACAGCTAAAATCTGCACTACTCTGTGTTCTACCTGGATTGAGATGGAGCACCTCAGCAAGGCCACATGATTGGCATACAGTCACAGTTGTGTCTTAACATCCCCGAGTCAGAGGGGTCACTAAGCATTTTGAATGAATGATGATATTTGTGCTATCGTGAAATGAAGCACAAAAACACCCAGAGGCTTCAGAACAAATGTAGAACTCATAGACACAGATCAATGCAAAATTTTGCTAAAAGCTAAATAAATGCAACCTTCATGCCAGTTAAAACATTTGAAGCCAGTGACAAGACAAGAATGGCCCTGTCTTGTGTGAAGGGTCCTCTGTCTAGCTCTGCTGGTCTGGGACTCCCTACTGTAGGGCAAGTTGGCCGTGAACTCCTGTAGTCCCCTTGAGTGCAGGGGCAAGTGTGGTGAGCCATCTTACTGCATGGTGCTGGCTGGCCTGGTGCTCACTAAACTTGCAGCAGCTCTTCTGCCTCAGCTTCCTAAGCTGCCATAATGCTGAGATTATGAGCAGGCACTGTCTCCTAGTTTCAAAGCTGTATGCCAATGTGAGCTTTTATGTAACAGTCTTGTATCTTTCACAAGATGCCTTGCTTACCTGTGAATTTTCTCACTTCTCTTAGTAGTGTCTGCAGATCAGTCTTCCCAGAGTCTGTAAAAAGGCCACAATTCACATATACATGAATAACTGTGCACTGATTCAGAGATAAATGGGACGTTAAGTAGGATGTTTTGTTATAATTTGTTTTGAGTTATCACATACATAGATGAACACGAAATAAGGAAAATTACTCTTGAAATATGTAACTATTAATCTCATTATCTACTCTCTATTTCTCTTCTTCAAGATCTCAACCTTGGGCTGCCAAGACTGTTCAGTAGACAAAGCACTTGCTGCCAACCTGATGACCTGGGTTCCACTCCTGGGATACACATGGTGGGAGGACAGAGCTGATTCCAGAAAGTTGTCCACTGGCCTACACACTCACCATGGCACACATTGCCCCCCGCCGTGGTGATATTTTGTTTGTGCACTAATGAATAAAGATTGGCTGGTGATCAGAGTGCTGAGCTAGCCATAGTTAACCAGTGGTGGCACACCCTTCCATCCCAGCACTGGGGAGGAGGAAACAGGAAACGATATGGCTGGGCAGAGAGAGGAAGTGATGAGGCAGGGCAGAGACAGGAGCTTGGCCCCTTTTTTGCTAAGAATTTGGCGAGGGGTAGCTGTGGCTTGGTCCTTTGTCTCTCTTTCAGCATTTACCTGATATCTGACTCCGTGTTTTAATTACTAAGACAAATTAGAATTCACCACACACACACACACACACACACACACACACACTCCTAAAGGAAGAAGAAAAAAGGTCTCAAGCTCAGCATAAGCATCTTATGCTCACCCCCTCTCCAGGCTTATTCTGTTTACACGTTTTACCAGCAGACCCTTGAATCAGTATAACTTGTTAGAATTGAAGATTAGTGCATTTAATTTTTCACTAAAATTTATGCATACAGATGTTTTGCCTGTATGTTTTGTCTGTGTCGTGTGTAAGGCCTGAAAAGACCAGAAGAAACTGGAGTTACAGACGGTTGTGAGGAACCATGTGGGTACTGGGAATAAAACCCAAGTCCTCTGTAAGAACAACCAGTGTTCTTAACTGCTGGGCCACCGTCCCAGCCCAAAGTTGTAGAATGTTTTAGGACGAGAAGGAAACTGGGAACTATGCTCACTATTGGTATTTCTTACAAGAAAGGACAATGCCACTTATATGTAATCCTACTCTTCCTTGGGGGTTATTTCTATTCCAAATACTCCTTACAGTCAATACGGCAGACGGTGCTCTGAGAATCCTTACCACTTATAGACTTCTGTGGATCACAAGGAAACACGCAGACAAGGCGAAGAGGAATCAAGGCCAACGAAGACAGTTTGCCTCTCTTTAACCAGAGTTATGGAAGAAATAAAAAAAAAAAAAACCAACCCGGAGGATAAGGACAGGATTATAAGGAAGATATCTGATGGTTTTCTACATCCAATAAAGGATTTCAATTGTTATATTCAAAAGTCCAATAAATCCTAAGACAGATACATGAAAATTAATCCATTTCAAATTTCCACATCACAGCAAAGCTTCAGAACTAGTGATCAATGTACTCAAAGCAACAAGAGCGAAATGTTTACTCTCTAAGAAAAGTAAGGTTTATAGCCGACTTCCCATCACGTCTAGCAACATTAGAAAGCATGACTGTAGGATGATACTTTAAGTGTGCTGAAAGAAAAAGACTAACTGGAATTCTATGCTCAGAGAACATATCTATCAGGAACTATAGTAAAATATGTGTGTGTGTGTGTCGGTATGTGCATTTGTGTGTATGTGTGTATGCATGTATATGTGTATGTGTTTTTGTGTGTATGTGCATTTGTATGTGTGTATGAATGTTTGTGTGTATATATGTGTATATGTGTGTATGTGTGCTTGTGATGTGTTTATATATGTGTGTTTGTGTGTGTTTTACTCAGACAAGCTCTTGATACATACCTTAGGGTAATCTCAAACTTGCAATCCCCCTGCCTCAAGCCTCTTGAATAGGACTACAAACATATAAGCATGTGCCACATGCTAAACTGACTAAACAGATAATCGTATATCAGAAAAAGAGAGGATTTCTTAATGATATTTGCTTCTGGTAGAAGAAAAATGATCCCAAAGGCAAAGTTGGTGATACAAGAAAGAACAAAAAGCTAAGAATGTGTGCACACTTGAGTAAATCTGAATGAATAGTGGAATTATAAAATTATTACACTACTACTTGGTCAATTTTGACTGCCAACTTGATGGGATATAAAATCACCATGGAAACAAATCTCTAGGCATGTCTACGAGGGGTTATCTACATGAAGTTAAGGTGGGAAGATCCACCCCAAATGGGCGTTATATCCTTCCTTTGCCTGGGGTCCTGGACTGAGTTAGAACAAAGTTGAGCACAGTCATCCATTGCTTTCTCCTTCCTGACAGGGGATGTGATTGCCTGTGCCTCTACCATACCTTGCCTGCCAGAAAGCACTGCACCCCCTAAAGCCTAAGCCAAAGCAAACCTCCTCCCTGCAGCTGCTTTTGTCGTGCTCATCACAGAGATGAGACAAATAACGAACGTGACCACTGATGCTTTTCTAAATTAAAACAGAACAGCACAGAACCAAAGAGATCAGAGCATCGACACAGAGAAGGAGGGAAACGGAGGTAAAATGTTCTTTGGTCCTTCTGTTATCCAAGAGGAAAAATCTGGAGAGACAGGTTCACATCAGTGCACAGCAAAGCACAGTGCCAGGAGGGAGACTTCAGGGATGGCAGATCAAATGCTGAGGTCATCACGGAGCAGGAAGGACAGAAGAGCATTGGATAGTAAGAGAAATCAGGAGACAGTTATGTATACAAAGCAAAGAGACACCCAAGGATGGTAACTGTAACAAATAAGAGGGCTACATTACTTGGTAGTGAGAGTAAGAGGACTAGAAGTCTATTTTATTATGTTTTTTTAATATTTATTTATTTATTTATTATGTATACAATATTTTGTCTGTCTGTCTGTATGCCTGCAGGCCAGAAGAGGGCACCAGACCTCATTACAGATGGTTGTGAGCCACCATGTGGTTGCTAGGAATTGAACTTAGGACCTTTGGAAGAGCAGGCAATGCTCTTAACCTCTGAGCCATCTCTCCAGCCCCCTTTATTATGTTTTATTTGTTTGTGTTTGTGTGTCTTAGTTACTATTCTATTGCTGTGCTAAAATCCCATGACCAAGGCAGTTTATAGAAGGACACATTTAACTGGGGGCTTGCTTACAGTTTCAGAGGGTGAGTTATGACCTTCATGGCAGGGAGTGTGGCAACTGGCACAGTGCTGTAGCTGTACCTGAGAGATCAAATCTAACCATAAGCTGCAAGCAGAGCAAATGGGACTGGGCCTGTCATGGGCTCTTGAAACCTCAAAGCCTAGGCCCAGCGACACACCTCTTCCAACAAGGCCAAATTCACTCCAACAAAGCCACACCCACTCCAACAAGGCCACACCCACTCCAAGAAGACCACACCTCCCAAACCTTCCCAGACAGTTCCACTAACTGAGCACCAAACATTCAAACATAAACGCCCTTGGGGGGGCCTTTTTCATTCAGACTACCACAGTGTGTATGTGTGCAGGTACACACAGGTCACAATACCTTGGTGTAGAAGGTCCTTTTGCATTTGTGTTGATTTCATTGGTTGAATAAAGAAGCTGCCTTGGCCTTTTGATAGGGCAGCCCTTAGGTGGGTGGAGTAGACAGAACAGAATTCTGAGAGGAAGAAGGCAGGCAGAGAGCTGCCCACCATGAAGCTGCCAGGTCAGACATGCTGAATCTTTCCTGGTAAGCCACGGCCTCGTGGTGACATGCAGATTATTAGAAATGGGTTGAATCAAGATGTGAGGGTTAGCCAATAAGAGGCTAGAGCTAAAAGGCCAGGCAGTGTTTAAATGAATACAGTTTCTGTGTAATTATTTCGGGGCTAAGCTAGCCGGGCGGCTCCTCTCCATACAACAATACCTATGCAGATGTCAGTGGACAACTTGTGGGAGTCTTTCTCTCCTGTCTGTTCCTTTCAAAGAGAAGATAAAATATTGTAACTTAAACCTGTTGCTCTATCAAAGAGTTGAGGCTAGGAAGGAATCCTGTGGACAGTGCCAAAATAGAGGAAGAGCAGACAAGGAAGCAGATGTTACAAGGTCCAGGACAGTTTGATGGCACAGCCTTTGGAGGACACTGGGATGGCGAGACTGATATGAAGAGCAACCCTTCACTGTAATAAGCTATCTTCCTGCAGTGTCCCTCAAGTAAAGATGAACATCCATAGCTCACTCTAGCGTATATATCATATATCTCAAAATTAATGAAAATATACTAAACCAAAATGTGCTCTCACATGGACAGAATTCTTCTTTAAGACTAAAAAATATCAGCCAGGTGGTGGCGGATCACACCTTTAATCCCAACACTTGGGAGGCAGAGGCAGGCAGATCTTTGTAAGTTCAAGGCCAGCGTAGTCTACAAAGCGAATTCCAGGACAGCCAGGGTTACAGAGAAATCCTCTCTCAAAAAACCAACCAACCAACCAACCAACCAAACAAACAAACAAAGATAAAGAATATCATATCAGTATCAAAACAGATGCTGCTCGCAGAGGCCTCAGGCTTGAGCACCTGGAGCAAGAGTCCCTGGAAGGTCTGATTCCAGCCGCTTACCGTCAACTGGAAGGTTTTCTGACAGATCTTTTAGTTTCTCGTCTGAGAGCTTGATTTTCAAGTTTTCCAAAACATTTTCTAAGTTATTGACATCAACTGTCCCACCTAAGGACAAAAATTAGGACCACAGAAGAAATTTAATAACTTCCCCTGAAAAAGAAAATTTTCATTTATCCCCCTTAAATCACGGCTGTCAGCAAGAGTGTCAGTAGCCCCGATGTCCATCTTCACAGAAGGGGACAAATGGAAAGGGAACTGAAAATGTTCTGCTGGTAGAGAGGAAAGCTCTAGCAAGTACAGACTCACTGTTCTACCATGCACAATGTAGGGCTTAGTGAAACTCCCCACAAAATAATAGCCTATTCTTTATTTCATATTTTTATGTGCAACCAGTTTTTAATTTGATTTTTTTATCAAAAGCTAATCTTAGCAGCAAAATGAAAAAAATGTTTGGAAAATTCAGACATGAAGATAGGGGAGTGAGTGTGGGAGAGGGTGGGCCCCACGAGAGGACACAGCCAGATACAAGTGTGAGTCAAGGGCCCTTATTCATCTTTCTTCTCACCATGGCCCTTACCTTTGAAGGATTTCAGACAGTCTATCAACCTGCTATCATATATAGTTTCATCATCTGCAAAACAGGGGCACACACATCACAGCCGTCAGGGGGACAGTACACAGCTGCCGTCTCAGCAGGGTGCTTTCCAGTGATGTGCCTTATAAATAGTTTGATATTTTGTATCCCAAGAGTTCAAAAGCAAGGAATCAAGAAAAATTTCAGAGCATACATGTCACTGGACGGAAACAACTTCTAATAACGTGTTGCCACATGGTACAGGAATACAAACACATCTTTCCTTGGTTCTCTTACTTTCCTCTCGCCCAATTCCCTGCTCCCGCCAGCCTCACTTTCCCCTTATACCTACAAAGTTAACTTTCACTGGAAGGGAGAAGGGAACATAATAATGGCTTCTGTCCCCAATCCTAGGAAATCGAGAAAATTAGAGTTGCTGACTCTCAATGAAAGGACAAAATTATTCTTTCTGGGGGCAAGAACAAGGTCATATTAAAAACTGTTGACAGCTCTTGAAAACAACAGCAACAACAACCAGGATGCAGTCAATTATCCCAGCAGATAAAAGTTTGTTTTAAAGTGTCTCAATACCCGACCTGACTTTCCCTAATATTCTAACAGTGTTTGAAAAACTCACCTTCAATTGGCAGACTGCACATCAGTTCTAACTGTTCTCTAGGTGTCAGTGTTATTCCAGCGGCTTCTACAAAATTTTTCACATCTTTGATATCAACCTTCTCTCCTTAAAAAAGCAGAAACAGTAAGTATAGTCTACAGCATTGACAGGTGTCGAAATAGCAGAAGAAGAGGGGAGGAAACTGTCCGTGTTCTTCTGTCACATCATGTAACTGTGAGAACTCAGAGGTGCAGGAAGGCTCCAAGGCAGAATAAACGACCAGAGACAATCAGAACATGTTCCTTTCATTCTGGGGAGGGAAGCCCTTTTATTACACTTAAACAAATGATTTGTCTGTTGTACCTGCCTGTGTGGGTGTGTTCGTGGGCACATGTATATATGCAGGTGCATGTGGGCATGGAGGCCAGAGGTCCGCCTCAGCTGTGGGGTTAGACACCTTGTGTTTTGAGACAGTGCCTCTCAGTGGTTTGGAGCTCATCCATTATGAGGCTGGCTGACCAGCAAGCCCCAGGAATCCACCCATCATCACCTCCCCAGTGCTGGGATTAAAAGAGCATGCCAGCACAACTTGTTATTTATGTAGGTGCTGGGGACTGAACTCAGGTCCTCATGCTTGTGTGTCAACAGCACCCTCGGGACATCTGGATGAGGAAGCAGAACACCGACAAGTCTCCAGCGTTCTGTATATATGTCTTCTGAGTTCGTGAGTTTATGTAGTAACGAAAAGATATGAGGATAGCATTAAGATGTAGGGTTTTAAACTTCACATAACTTTTAACTTGCCTACAACCGAGTTCACATCCGCTAATACTTTTTTCAGAGGGATACTTCGATTAGCTGTAATACAGAACATAAACAATTAAGATGATGACATACAACTTAGAAAGATTATAAATTAGGATTTGATAAAAGCCTATAAATTTTACTAATCTATTTGTGTTTACCTTAAATTTATATTTCCTGCTTTGAATGCTGGAGCCCTCATTAGTAAGAAAGACCTTGGACTGTGGCCATTCTCTTGAGCACAGGGTCTGGCTATGATAAGTATCGTGTCTTCACGGTACTTATGTAGCATGTCTTCAGTTCTTGGATTTTAAATGCCTTCTAAGAATGGTAATGATACCATTCAAGAGGTGTGCTCCCCTTCCCGTGTGTGTGGATGTGTGTTTCTACCTCATATTTAATGTAGATGTTGAGCTAGATGCTTCCTATACCCCATCTTTTCCTGATCTGCTGTCCCCTAACGTTTCCCACGTCTGTATTTATCTCATGCATGGACATCTTAGGAAATATTAATGGGGTTCCAATACTTCCCATTGTAGATTTTCCTCTCCTGATTATTTCTGGCTATCTTTGCGGTTCATTCTCTTTTACCCCCGCTCCCATTTTCTTTTTTCCCTACAAGTCCCTGGCCTATCGGGGTACTCTTAGCACTGGGGGAATGGCATGATGACTTCAGATTACTAAAAAATGGCAAAAGACAATATTTATCATTTTCAGACCAAAATTTTCTCCATAAATAGTATCTAAAATTCCCAGATCAATCTAACTGTAGAAGTCAGAGAGAGTGTGTATGTGTGGGGGGGCCCTGGAGCTTACTGCACAGAGAGGCCTTGGACTTCCAGTGATTCTCTTGCCTCTGTCTCCCAAGTGCTGAGCAAGCCCGTTTAATCTTAGAAGTTCTTTTATTTATTTATTTATTTATTTATTTATTTATTTATTTATTTTTGTGTGTGTTTTTTTGTGTGTTTTTTCGAGACAGGGTTTCTCTGTGGCTTTGGAGCCTGTCTTGGAACTACCTCTTGTAGACCAGGCTGGCCTCGAACTCATAGAGATCTGCCTGTCTCTGCCTCCAGAGTGCTGGGATTAAAGGCGTGCGCCACCATCGCCCGGCATCTTAGAAGTTCTTATACCTAATCTCAAGATTCTGCCCACAACAGCCAAAGGCAGCACGGTCCTCATGCTTACCACTATCAGCCTGCTTCTGCATCACGCTTTTCAATTCCTTGCTTTTGAGTTTGAGCCCTAAGTTCAGGAGGAGTGTCTTCAGCTTGTTGGGATCAACCCTTCCACCTGAAAAAAATGTCAGAAACATTAGAAAAACCCCATCCAGACAGAAAGACTTGCTAAATTAGAGTAACCTTCAACAGGCCTGGCTGCCATTAAGAGTTAATTAGTCTGATCGTGATGGCACACGTCTTTACTCCCAGCATTTTGGAGGCAGAGGCAGGTGGAGCTCTATGTGTTTGAAGCCAACCTGGTCTTCATAGAATGTTCCAGGCCAGCCAGCACTTCATGGTGAGACTCTGTCTCAAGAAACAAAGGCAAATAAACATACAAAAAAGAACCAGAAAGTTATTTGAAAGTAGTTTAGCAATCATGCTCTTGTGAAGTTTTCATAACTGTTGGGCTATGAATCCCACTTCTCACAGAAAAGGGTCATGTCAATGGGAGAAGTGTAAATGTACATCATAGTTTTTATTATAATCGATAAACCCAAACACCAAACAGCATCTCCGGAGCTTAAACATCTACTTAAGTGGGTGCTATTGAGCAAACTTTTGTTCCCCAGAGAAAGATTTAGCTACATGTAATCATTTTTTAAAAATTATTTATTTATTTATTTATTTATTTATTTATTATGTATACAATATTCTGTCTGTGTATATGCCTGCAGGCCAGAAGATGGCACCAGACCCCACTACAGATGGTTGTGAGCCACCATGTGGTTGCTTGGAATTGAACTCAGGACCTTTGGAAGAGCAGGCAATGTTCTCAACCCCTGAGCCATCTCTCCAGCCCCCACATGTAATCATTATTAAAGATGATCACAGTAAGAAAAGTTGCTTTTGAATTGGGTGAAGTTGTGACATCATTTACCTTAGAGAAGTTAAGATTGTCGTCCTAGTGAAAATAGTCATATGATGAGCAGCAAGAGTGGTCCTGGGGTTATCACTGCCATTCCACGGACAGCAAGTGCGTAAGACGCAGTGAGTCTCAAACAGACACGTTCATTCCTTGGTCAGGTGCATGGGTATTTCGGATGCCCATCACACCGGGGATATCTTAATTCCATGTAATTCAGTATTAAACATCTTTTTAAAATTGCAACTCTGACGCAAGTCAGTTCCTTTATCTACAGACACAATCATTTCTTCCAGCACTGGGAGAAAGTGACTACTGGACAAGACGATCATGACTCTGGGGTCATTAATGCAGCCCTCCAATGGGATCATTGTGACCTACGCAATGTTGGTATTTTAATTAGATATGGCTTGAAAACATGGAGTGGCAATGGGGATGCTGAGCACTGTGGCGGCTGTATCCCAGCACGGTGATGGTCAAGCTCTCATGAGATCTGTCCAAGGCACCCAGAAATAAAGCTGAGCATTCAAGGCTGATTCCTCTGAGCTTGCTGCTGACCTAACTAACGCACCATCTATGAAACAAAGATCAAAGTGATCGATACATAGAACAGGTTCCCAAAGAATCGTGACCATAATCTAGGAGGAAATCTCAAACCGGCCTTTATACTGCTTCCTCACATTTGCTACTCACCTTTGAAACCCCTCAGGCTGGACAGGAGTCGATTTTGGAAAACTTTGTTATTTTCTGTAGTAAAGAAAGAAGTTACAGTTCAGGACCAAGAATGCCTCGGTGAATACAGGGCTAGACTTTTCGTTCTGTGACTGACCTTAGGGAGTGGATCTTCTTCCACCGTCAGTCACGATGAGGTCAAGGAACGGGCCTTGTGCTGGCACTGAGCGAGTGTCTAGGGTAGGGGTGGGATCGCGAGCACAAATGCCCGGGCTTTGCTACACTCTGGCTTTGGAGCCTTAAGCAGATCTAGGCCTCTGTTTCTTTCGCTGTAACGCC